TTTTAATTAGTGGTGTGTGCACAAATTATTTTTACTATTTTTTAGCTAATTAATGGAAATTACAGTTTTCATCCCTCAAGTTTGCATCGATTTCGCATTTGGTCCTCTCCATGTTCACAAAAAAACACATTTGGTCTCTCATGTTCCAATAATTTAACATTTTTTGTCATTTCCGTCAATTTACCGTTATTCCGTTAGTTAAGGTAGTCATGGAACACGTTTGATTCCGTTAGTTTTAACGGAAAATTGACGGGTAGGACTAAATGTGTTGAATTGTTGAAACATAAGGGACAAAATGTGAAATCGATGCAAACTTAGGGATTAAATGTGTATTGTCCCAAATGTATTTTTTGTGAACATGAGGGACCAAATGTGAAATCGGTGCAAACTTAGGGACAAAATCTGTATTTTCCCCTTAATTTTTAGTGGGATTTGAAACCTTTTATGAGTTTTTACTTATAATGTTTACATCAATCATTAACTTTTGATTTTACTTATAAAAAAGAAAAGTAGTTTCAACTTTCAAGTGTTATAGTTTGAAAAGCACCCTTAAAGTACTTTATTAAGACAATTTAGACATTTCACCATAATTTAGACGATTTTGTTTGCTAAAATAAGAGTCGTTACGAAAGGTACATTTTACTACTGCGACAATCTAAGGGTCGTAGTAAATGCTAAAATTTACCATATCAAAACAGTATTTTCTGCGGCCGTTTACCGTAGTAAAATTTTTATCACGCCCGCATTCGCTACGGAGAAAACTCGTAGAAAATCACTGCAAAAAGCTTTTCACTATCAATTTGGCATCTTACCCTACAAATTTATGTGGTAGTAAAAAACTATTTTACTACTAGTAATAGAATTTTAATTTCTCATATATGTATATATATTGTGTATAAAAAATGACTAACTAATTGAAAATTAAATTGAGGAAAGACATGTGAATCAGCCATTCAACTACATGAGAAAGGTGAAGTGGTAGTTGGAGAAACTACTCTCAAATGGTTGGGTTCTATTCATCTTCAAAAAGGAGTCATTGACCCCCATTTTGAGGTAAACTTACTTCTTTTTCCATGTCCTTTTTCGTAATTTTACTTGCTCCACAATAATTTTACTATATAACAACAAAAAAAAAATCATCAAAACTCATAAATGATATCTATGATTTATTCATGTTACACGAGTTTGTCTGGTTACCTATATCAGATTAGTTTGGATTAGAGGAGATTGAAATAATTCTCTACTGACTAAAGACGTTCGTTTAAAACCTTTTATTTGACAAATTAACATGTTTGAAGGATACAATATTTTTTTACTTGTTCAGTCACCGTCTATTAAATTAATCTCGTAGAAAGGGGTGCTGTTAATTTAATGAAATAGTAGGCATTTAATAGCGGACTTTAATTTTTATAGCAGGTTTGAGTAAGTATAAATCTTGTCAATCGAACGTATTACTAGCCCATAATATTTAGTTAGTAGAATCTTATAATAGTAACTGAACGAGCACCGAAAGAAAAAATAAAGCTCGTTAATTGTAAATATCATTAATCGAGCTCTTTTTAGGGGTTGGGCGTAAGAAATTTACAAACTACAGGGGTTGGATGTAATTTCTCAAAATAAGGGGTTCTTTTTTTCGTAATTACATTTATACCTCAGGGAGGTTGTTGTAGTTTACCCTATTAACAGTTAGACAAAAACAGGGTTGTCTTTTGCAATAAACCTAAATAAATACACATGATGTATGAGTTTATGAATGTATATATATATATATAATCAGGTGGTGAAAGAAGCATTGTTGAGAACAGTACAGGAGGGAACTGGAGACAAGTGGAGTGAGGAGATGAATGGTGCTTGGGCAGAAGCATATGATCACTTAGCAACAGCCATCAAGAATGAGATGAAAATATAGTCTGCTCTTTCATTATTTATTTATTTTATCTCCCTTTATTTTTAGTTTTTTGCTATAACTAAATAAATAAACTTGCCTCTCTCAAATAATTCGAACCGGTGTGTTGATGGATTATACTATGCTACATCAGGTTAAATACATTGGGTAGATCTTTATCATTCAATAATCATAAGCACACCAACACACGCATACCTATTGAATTTCTTTCTCAAAAAAAAAAAAACATACTCTATTAAATTTTTTGCCATATTAAAATTCGAGGACTTTCGACTAATAAAAAAAATGGGGAAAATTACCACCACCCGTGAAGTAAGGTCTAATTAAAAAAAAAAAAAAAAAAAAAAAAAAAACTCTTGTGTTTGGGTAATTACAACTATTCATCAACTATAAATCTTCTTACACGTCCACCCCTTACGGATTACGGTGTCAAATTCAACATAATCTTCTAGATTATGTGGAATGTTCTCTAATTTGTACTCGTTTTATGAAAAAATACAGTTTCTGATGCACCACAATTTAATATATGCAAAAGCCAAAAAATACATCTTATAACTATTCATATAATCCAGAAGATTCCACTAAATTTGATACCACAAGGATGGATATGTTACAAGTTTCATACTGAGAGTTAATTGTAATTACCCAAATCAGTTCTGAAGTGATCTTAATTTACCATAAAAAAATATAATAAAAAATTAGACAAAATATAAAACTTCGTACTATTATCAACCCTATTGGACAATAATGGTTGGAATTTAAAGGATCAGATAGGTAAAGAAGGGGAGTGCCCAGTTGTCGTAACAGGCTAGGCAGGCACCCATCTCGCATTTTTTAATTGCGAGCATTTACCACTCATCACTTCCCGTTAAAACTTGCCTGAAGGATCATACTTTTTAACTGCAGATACACACCCTTTTTTTATTCTACCTCCCATCACCGCATATCTCCTTAAACATTCGATGTGGGATACTTACTACTTGGCTGCATTTCGAATTTCATATCCTATACCATATCAACTTGTACCAAAATTAATGGCTATGCATAAATTATTTTGGCTATGATGTCAATTTTCTCTTTCCTCGTTTGACTAGGTCTAATTTGTCTTAATGAAAATGATTCTTTTTCGAAAAGGTTGTTTCCATTCGTCCGATTTTCATCCACTATTTGGTAGATATTGTATTGTACCGATTTCTTTGTCGTTCCAACCTAAGCCCCATGAGTTTTGTACGATGTCGTAAACGAAATCGTAGAAAACTCTTGGGGTCGGGTTGGCTCGACAAAGGGTTTAGGAAAGTATCATCCCACACCTGAAGATTATTTCGTTTTCGAGATAGGTTTTGTGGATGGAATTTTGTATTCGATACTGTTAAAAATAAAATTTATATTTGAGAGAATTTATATTCGTTTTATAGTGTGTTTTAGGAATGAAATAATTGAATTTTGAGGATTTTTCTAGGCTTTTCTATAAGGGAAAATTAGCACGAATACCCCCATCTAGGAAATGTAGTTAAGGAAAATCTCCCTCCCAAAAGTAATTAGAGAAAACTCCTTCCCCTTTAAAATAACCCTCCTAATAAATTGAAATTGTCTTATATACCCTTGAAGAACCCTAATTTCATTTATCATTTCTCTATTCTTCTTTTCACACATCTTCTCTCTATTCTTCTCTACTATTTTTTTCTCTTTCAATTTTCCACCCAAATCTCTGTTTTTTTTCTCTCTCGATCCGGAGGCGAAAAACAAGAGTCGTCGATTAAGGTTACTCGATTTCAATTTTTAATTTATTTTTGGATTTTTGTGTATTGATTCTGATTTGTATATACATCAATTACAATTGATGTATATTATTTATTTTGTAAAAAAAATGTTGACTTTTATTTTTACGTAGTTGTGTTTTTTTTAGTATTCAGTTCATCAATCGAGTATACTTCACCATTGTCTATTAATATGCTTCATTGTCGATTAAAAAAAAAAAAAAACTGATACTCATAGCAGATGATAGTGCTGATGATGAAGTGATAGAAGCATAATTTAAGAAATGGCTAACTGAAATTAGGAATGTGTTTTCTCAAATAATACAAAATAGTTTGGACATCTCCTTATTAAAGAAGTTGGGTATTGTATCAAAGAACCCCTTTCCATAATTCTTCTTATTGACAAAATTTCATAATTTTTAGGGCATGATTTGGATATTTTTCTCACTTAACCACCAAATACGTTAAATGATTTTTTTTTTTTTTTGTTTTGATAAGCTGCATTAAATGATGTGACT